CACCTTGCAAAATGATATTTTTCCACCGAAAAGCTTCTCGCAGGATTGTTTAGAGACGTTCTTGATGAGAATCCACTCAGAATACTGTATGTCAGGCAGTATTCTTGTGTTTCCATCGGTTTTCAGTAAGTGACTAGCTAGTAGGACGCCCTATATGTGGCAAGCATTCTTGAGTGTCACACGAAGTAGCCTTGATTGATTTTGATGGCTAGAGTCCTTTCTTCGAGTGAACTGTGTGAACATCGAAGGCTCTATTCTAGGAAATTCAAGCTTCTTGTTTAATTCTCCCCAGAGCATCCTGTCATTTTTGTCCTGCAAAGTGAGGGAAGGTCAGGATTGTCTTTAAGGTTCATGATTATGGGTCATCACGAGTCGTTATTGATTTCCCAGGTATTGCAGAGCGTCCAGACTCGACACGTTGTTTGAAGGTCGAAGCGCGTTTCCGATTGTTAGGCTCTTTGATGACCGGACAGACATTCTTAGAAGTAGACTCTGCGGCCAAGTCACAGGTGATTTCCGTACAATACTTGAGATGGTACAGCCTGTGCCATGCAGTCAAGGGTTTCTCTAACACAAATTAGCTTTCTAAACAACAAAAAGAATAGTTAATACACAAAAGTTCAGTGCCTGAGAATTAGTAGAAATATTTTCAAGAAGACGGGACTAGATATCTATCTGCAGGAATTCCAGCAACTCTTCCAGGCAGGCAGTCAAATGTCAACCGTCACACAGCGAAGCACACCGTGACCTTTGGCGTGTAAAAATGGCGTGTACCTGCTATTGCAGAAATATATTATTATTATTAAATAAAGTGTGGTTGAAAGGGGCTTGAATAAAGGTTAAAATAGAAGAAACAATTAAATGACAATACCGTTCAATGAAATACTGTGGAGGAATTTTCAGCCTTTTCTTTCTTTTACAGTATGAAAGAAGCAACTAGGTACGACTCATACACCCCTCTCCATAAGGCTAAGAATATTGGAGAGACTTTGGTCACTGGACACGGACGAAACAGAATCTCAATATCAGGAAGCTCAAAATATTTATACCTTGACCTTCCGTAAGTCTAGGGAGTCGCTTGTTAAGGAGTCTGTAGAATACCCTAAACGTTTACGCTCGTACATAAACCAGTGGACTAGAAGAAGGGGAAATATTCTAGTATTGTAGGGAAATATTAGTACTGCGACCAACAAAGAACTCGATGTTTCCATTCTGCTGAGTGTGCTTGATATTGGAAAATCAATGGGAACCTGTTAGATGCATCTCAGGTTACCAAAGGAACTAACGAATTTCGTAATGAATCCCCTTAGAATGTGTTTTGACCTATCTGTAGCCCAAGGTCGATTACCAAAAGACTGGAAGAACACCATAGTAAGTCCTGTCTTCAAAACAGGTGCGAAACATGAACCTAAGAACTATCAACCCGTAAGTCCAACTAGCGTGGTCGTTAAGATTTTAGGGAGGATTATTCGAAAGGCATTGCTTAAATATTTCTCTGAGAACCGGATTCTTTCTGAAAAGCAGCATAACTTTAGAACAGATTATTCCTGTCACACTAACTTATTAGTAGCCCGTGAAAATTAGTGAGCTCCTAAAGACCTAAAATTACCTACAGATTGAGCTCACTTTGACTTCAGCAAAGCTATTGACAAAGATCCTCACAACCTGCTGTTATATAAGTTAATAAATGTCGGGGTTGGAGGCACTCTATTAGTGTGGATAAAATACTTCCTAGTTGGCCGTCAACAAATAGTACAGATAAATTCACTGTTGTATAGCTGGGAAACTGTGCTTAGCAGAGTGCCTCAGAGTACAGCTCGGGGGTCAGTGTTATTCCTCTTGTATGTAAATGACCTGCCTAGTCTCCTACCGTAATAGGCTTTTCTAGATGCTGACGATGTCAAGATGTGGAGAGCGATAAAAAGTAAAGGTGATAGATAAGAGCCTCAAAGGTATCTGTAGAAATTATCTGACCGATCTAAAACTTGGTAGTTGCCGACAAATGTTTCCAAGTTCATTGCAATGCATACTGGTCACCAAGGAACAGATACATACACGGTGAACAATATTGAGCAGCCTGTTGGCCAGACAAACAGTGACTTAGGAATCATCGTTAGTCAAGGCTTAAAAACTACTGCATACCACCGTGAGATAGCCGCCAAAAGTTTTATAACCCTATGGCCAATATGGAGGGTCTTTAGCCATGTCGATGCTAAAACCTATTCGACCTTGTATACCGTAATTTTGCGCCCTAAACTCGACTACTGCATACAAGCAGCTAGCTAATGTCTAACAAGAGACAGTCAGCTGTTGTCAAAGGTTCGAAGAACCGAAACTAAGCTGATTCCCGTAATAGCAAAGCCCCCGTATGATGCCTGACTGGCCAAACTAAACTCACTTCCAATGCCGTACCGATTAATCAGAGGCCACTTGATCTCAGTTTTTAAAATACTTAGTGATAAATTTGCTTATGATATGCACCACTTTTCCTGTCATCCAAAATATATAATTGACGATGACACTCTAAAAAGTTTCACAAGCTTATTGTAAGATCGTCTACGTTGATGATCTATGTCAAAATGATCGGGGGCCTACTATAGTTAGACGAGAATGGGGACGAACCAAATAACGCTGAAGTCACACCTCACGACCAGCCCTTACGTGGATTGAACCATCGACGCATCAAAGAATAATAGATGCTATGGAGACTGTACAACACAAAGGACGTTATGACAAGAATATATTAGTTAAGGTACAACTACGGAAGTACAGAAGTGAAAGAATAACCACTGCCGCATGGGCCAGTCCATGGCGTACGATTGGTTTGTGCGCGTTGACTATCCTCGACCTTGACAGGGATCAGTGATCTGTTCGATATTCAGTGACCCTACATTATAAAAGGTTGCTTGTCACATAACAATCGAATTTCCGACCGAATCATCAACAAATGGAATTCATTACCTTAACACGTGATTGAAGCTCTATATGTCGAAGCTTTCAAGACTAACACGGACCACCCAGCCTCCTGTCCTTTCTAAACTAGAACTGAAATATTGGGGTTGAACACGAAAGGATGCGTACAAAAAAATACAGTGTTGAATAATGCCATTATTAATAGTAAAGCTATGGGTGAACAATTCCAAAGGTGGAAAAATTACGTATTTCACTACCATCACAGGTGGACAGAAATTTCCGCTGGTTCTTTTCCAAGAAGGCTTGGCATTTACCCAACGGTATTTTGTACTGCCCTAGGAGATGGTTGAGAAGATTTGTAGTTCAGGTGGACAGTTTGGGTAGAGTTTTGTTCTATGGGCTGAATGGTTTGGTTATGGAGCATTCATCGTTCTTCTGAGCAATATCATCAGCACAAACTTCAATCGTAAATGAATTGTTCGAATTTCTCCACGTATGACGACGATTGATGAAAGCTCCTCGACCAAACCATCCAGATCAGAGAATAAAAATCCACCAACTACTCTACGAGTTATTCCCCTTTCACTCATTTTATTGGAGACACTTTTTTAATTTTTTAGGTTCATGAAAAATAAAGCACGGCCTAGGAAAACCCAGATTTAGAATCTAAGGAACCAGTAATCCTGTTTATGTTCTCTCCATACCTTCAAAAATTATGGAATCCCTAGTATTCGACGGCATACTAGAACACTTATCATCCTCAAAGTTCTTCTGGCCTCAACAGCATGGTTTCAGAAAAGGTCATTCTTGTATGACCAACCTGCTGACTGCGGTGGATAGATGGACAACCATCCTTGATCGCAAGGGGAAGGTTGACGTCATTTACCTGGACTTCTCAAAGGCTTTTGATAGGGTCAACCATGCATGTCTTATCAAGAAGCTTGGACGATTGGGTATAAAACCCCCTTTAATTGACTGGATCACTTCATACCTAGAAAACCGACATTTTAAGGTCAGGGTTAACTTCACTCTCTCTCAGGCTATGGAATGTCCTAGTGGGGTCCCCCAGGGTTCAATACTAGGACCTCTTCTCTTCTTGATTTATATTAACGATCTTCCTCAACAAGTTTCATCTGATTTATTGCTTTTTGCTGATGATGTGAAACTTTGGAGAGAGGTACGTACTCACAATGATATACTAGTTCTGCAGGAGGATCTGACTCGACTTCAAAGTTGGGCAGACGACAACGGACTTACCTTCAACACTTCAAAGTGCAAGGTAGTCCATCTGAGACATGTTGCAGACTATAGTTATAACTTAGGTAACTCACCTCTAGAAGTTTCCGAAGTTGAAAAAGATTTAGGAGTGTTGGTACCCTACGACCTGAAATCGTATGCGAACTGTGACAAAAACGCCTCTCAAGCAAACCTTGCACTGGTAACATTGAAGCGCATTTTTGGCCAGTTTGACGGTAGAACCTTCCACATAATCTTCAACAGTTTTATTCGTCCCCACTTAGAGTACGGAAACATAGTATTTCCTCCCTCCCTCCAAAAGGATAAGGTCACTCTGGAACGTATACAACGTCGAGCCACGAAATCAGTTCGGGGTCTCAAATTCAAACCTTATGAAGAGCGCCTCAAATCACTTAACCTTTACCCGTTAGAGTATAGGCATCTTAGAGGTGATCTTCTTATGACTTATAGTATCCTTAATACTTCTGGTCATCCCCTTAAACAACTTCTTAAGCTTAGTCATAACACTAACCTCAGAGGTAACACCCAGAAATTGGAGACCCTACATAGCAGAACAGACTGCAGACACAACTTCTACTCCGTTAGAGTTGTCAAGTGCCGGAATTCGCTGCCGACTGAGCTAGTCCAAGATACCTCCCAGGAGTCCTTTAAGAGAAAACCTGACTTATTCTTAAGGACTAAGGATAACATATTATTATGATTTACCAAATTCTTTTTTTTCCCTCTATTATCGTTCATATACCTAGGTTCTTGCCTGGAGGTATTGGTGATCCACTGCTACCAGACACGGAAGCCCGTTAAGCGAAAGCTTCTTCTATTCCGTCCTCAACCATTTGAACCATTTGAACCATTTAGTCTTTGCCTAATTATTGGCGCACATTCCGGTCTGAACGTAACTTCTGGTTTGTGAGTCTTTCAAGATAACAGTTTAGTATCATTATTACTACACTCTCTGGTTCAATTTAACGGCTTCATATACTTATATGGTTTATGAACAAACGCCCAAACAACCAATAAAGGGAAAATAAAAGAGAACAAAGGAGACATTGGGGAAAATGCGTTGGAAATTAGGGAAGAAACACTTCAAAATGTCTTCTTTTTCTCCTGTCCGGGGGAAATAATGCGGTTTTTCTCCCTTTATATCGCGCTCTAGTTTAAACATCTCTGAATTGTCCACTTTTCGCCTAGAGATACGCCGATTTATCTAATTCTGATTCACTTTTTAACACTATCTTGGTATAACCCCAAACATCTCCTGTGTTCACCTTTATTTCCATAACACACCACACGACAACTGCATTCGACGTTAATAATGGTACATGTTTAGAGGAATTTATTGATAAGAAAAGGCGTCATCTTGTACAACATTATCAGCAGTTGTCAGATGCTTGAGCATCGATCGTTATGTGTTCTAATTGTAATTACCAAGTCTTATTGCAATTTGGAAAGATCTATAAAAGAAAAATACATGTTACGTATTATTGTTAGCTAGGCACGTGTGCTTAGTTGCAAGTGTATTGAAAATCAAACAGGCTTTCTCAACACCCAAAGAGTTTTACATGCAAGTAAGATAGTAAGAGCATGCTTAAAAAATGTTTGTTGAAAACGAAGTTGGACATAAAAAATACTCCACCGATAATGCGTTTTTGTAACGCCCGTTTGACTATTGAGAATCAATATGATCTCGTGAATTCTGAAGTACACAAAAAATTACAGTAATGTGTAACTGCTATCTTTTTACACAACTAGCTACGTAAAGCTTCACATACGGTTATGTTAGTTAACACTGAAGACTGTATCTATAGAACAGTAGAGAATAGTTATCCCTTTAAATCAGTACATACATGTTCTTGTTTTCTCCGATGACGCTTTTGTAATTTGTCTCATGTCGTAAAAATACTCTTGCGTCGCGATGTCATAGTTTCGTAAGGTCTTTTACGTTGACGGATAATCACAGGAACCGATTAGTTAATGCATCTGAAGTTTAAAAAACAACATATCCTACTTTGTATGCAGCCGTAAAACCACTTCTAAAGTGCTGTTTTCGATGAAGTTCCAAGTAGCGTAAAATGGCTGGCAACTTCAGGTATCATGATGTATGACAAAATATAACGCATAGACGTTTTAGGGCTATCTATCAACCGCGTTAACATAGTCATCTGCAATACGAACAGATGATCAAACTAATTTTTTCGACTTACAAATTTGTCCCTTATGTCTTCCTGCTGAAAACAAGCGTCCAACGTTCCCAGTTCCTCTTCCATGACAAAGAAAACTGCTGACTTGATAGTCCGCAATCGAATTTCCGCGGATGTTCACGCTCACCAGACTTTGGCAGTAGCTGCTTCATATTGGCACTCAAGTCTGAAATGCCCCACGGTATGTTCTGCAGTACAATATACAGTCTATCAAATCTCAAAAACTTAACTCAAACGAACACGTGACTTACTCGGCCGCTAACGAACTGCCTACATTCGGACGCTTATGGGAATGTATCTGATTGTGTCGAACTAGTTGATTAACATTTTCAAAGTAAACATGCTCACTTGGCAACATTATCGAAAGAAATTTAGGATATTGAACGTGGCTGTTTCCAACCCGCATCTCGGTCACATCTATGTCGACGGAATTGTAAAGAAACCCTTCTTTACGTTTCATTGCACCTCTACATGGTTTTACTAAGATTATTTTACTGACCTCTTCGGCTTCTCATTGTTTAGTGGCAAGGTGTTCCCCTCCGTTCAACGGTAAGCATCTAATTTGTTAAGAAAACCAACAAGTTTTTGCAGCGTGGAGACTATCTGTAGAAAATAATCGTTTCTATGTTTGTGACTCACCGTATCCATGAATGACCTTACACTTCAGGACTGACCAATTGTCATTTGTTTGGTCACTGTTTTTCAGGTGCATATCAGCAGGGGCCGTTGGGTAAAGACAAATTTCTTTCCCACAATCCGCTGTTTAGCTACAATCATAAGCTCTCCTTTGCTTGGTGCGTCTACAATAACGTATTGTTTGTTGGCGGGCTAAAAATCACATAAGTGGTAAGCAATTGGTTTATGGTCATACCTTCAATGAAAAAATAACTAAATAATTAACACAATTAAGGGCAATACATTTACAGTCAATATCCTTAACGGAAACCCATGTGTGTTTATGACTAACTACTGAGCACATAAATATTCCTATGTCACTATAGAATGGGAGGGATCTTCGAAGTAATTGCGTGGGTCTGTGATTGCCCTAAATTTCATTAATCCGTCCTCCTCTACATCAGTGACCAGACCAGACTTTCCGTGTATCAGTACCACATTATCTTATTATTAAGTTATTTTGGTATTCTTAAGCGTAATTACTTGTTTCCGTGAGTCTACCTTGTCGGTTATTTTTGAACTATCAATCAAAATGCTAGCCTGAAGCCTATCACAGAAAGACATCTCCGAATAATTCTGAGCTGCTTGCTTGGCAACAACATACCCGCTATGCATTAATTTCTTAATTTGCCTCATATAAGACTCCAATGGGAATGTTGAAAAACTATCTAGAGACCCATGTGCACGATTGTTCCAGCCAGTATAGCTCGATTGGTTCAGTACGATAGTCAAACTCCACCACCACGTCAAGGTAGCAGCAACGGTCGGGACGATAAGTACTTTTTAGTAGCCATACCTCAGTATATTCACTACTATGACGTTCCTTCGGAACTTAAGTTGGATACTCGGTACTACCGCCCTCCAACTGGCTTGCATACTGAGGACATTTGGGAACAGATGTGTCAACCAGTCTACCGATGATTTACGTGGCACATATATATTTTGGTGGGCCTTTGCACTAATGTTTACATGTACATAAATAAACAAATAGGAATGCAGATTTAAGGTCTAATATGACAACCATTGTTGGTTAATTCTTTTTGATACAGATATATGTTTAACCTTTAATTCAAAATATAATAACAATATTATTATACTCGTATTGTCATTTCAGTGTCGTTTCATAAATTTACTTTTAGATTCTAAAAGTTAAATTTTGTTGATGTACATGAGGGATTCTACGTTTCCTTCCTTTGTTTTCCCAATCCAGAGATTTGGATAGACTAGTTGAACACTCGTCATTCCTCCCTAACACTCCTATCGATAACAACTCAGAAACGGTTCTGAATGACTTACGTGTTATATTTCTTATAAAGTGTATAACACACAAAAAGGAATGAATTCATTTTTGATTGTGTTCTAATTTAAACTATTTCCTTTCTTTCTTAAGATATAATCTTCCTACTTTAATTCTTTTTTTAACTTGTTACTATTCATTACACGTGACAAATTTCTTATTTCTTTGTTGTATTAAGTATTTTATGTGTCACAGGTTGGGTAAATATTACTATCCCTTCTTTCTAATGTTATGTAATCATGTCTTCTATCACTTCTTGATATAAATGTCATTCTATTGTAGTTTAACACATCGTGGTATTTCGTTGTATCTAGCTATTTTACATTGCTTCATATGAAAGATAACATATGTAGAATATTTATGGCTCATGAATTTACATAGATCTGTGATATTCTTAATTATGTGTTATTGGTTAGTACGTTCATTCATGCAGTTCACTCTTGATTTTTCAGTTCAAGTACATTTTATAAACACATGACTACATCAAATTATCACAATTATTCAGTTTCTTTTCACTATATGCTTCTTGCTTTTGGCTACAATTTCTCTACTATCAATCTCCCTAAACGTTTTTAGATGAGTTAGTGTAGTTGATTAGTTGTTTATTACCAAGTACAAGTTCGACTTTCATTTATATTTTTGGAGTACGCTGACAGTACTATCTGGCTGCCTAAACTAAAGTAGATTTAACAAAATTCGAACCTGGACCTCAATAATTGAAAGTCAAATGTCATAACTACTAAGCTGTTTATTCACTGAGGTGCCCTTACATGCATAAAGGTTGGTGAATCCAATCGGCTTATTTGGATACTCATTAGTGACACGGTACATCTACATGGGCTCAATATCCGTTTTAGTTTTGATCTTGTTTTTCCTTGTTTCACATTTAGTGATTATATACCACTTTTGAATCAAGTACGGTATGTATTTTAACACCGGATCATTCCTCTTAAATTCTACTAATCTAATTTACTTTCGTCTTGTTTTTCAGAAATTACAAATATTGAAGCAATCTTGACTGTTTGGAATCACTTTTATCTCGGTTACGTTTTCAGATAACAGGAAAAAAATTGCCAAAATTTATTGACAGTTAATTTACTTACTAATGCAAATTGCTGAAAAACGTCAGTTAGAAAATGTTAACACTTTGTATACTGCAATTCATAAACTCAAACAAAAAATTCAGGATTTAGTCATCAAAGCGGAAACTCAAGTACGTTTTAAATGTATAAGATGATTTGTCCTACATTTAAATTACCGGGTTTAAATATTTCATGTCAATTTCATTATTTATAATCCTCACTTTTGACATGGTTTAGTATTAGGTAGGAATCGAACTCATGAAATTCGTGTTTTCCTACTTTTAGCTCGTCGACTGTACATGCCTGTGTATCCCGCTTAGTCCTGATGTTTTGACTAAGAACCAAGTTCAATGTCTCAAATGCTCTATCATATTCCACTCTTTTGACCCAATAATGTTAGATTAAGCCTTGGTTTTTAAACTGATGGGTTCTGATGCAAAATCTTTAAAGCTAGTTGATTGTAAAGTCGACCAAAATCCCTCAATTACTTAGGGAGAGAGGGCAGTCGATATTCGTGGGTTGATTCGAAAGGTCTTTAGGGGTAATGGTATATATATAAACATTGCTTAAGATGCGTATTAATATCTCTTTAATGTTCTATATCTCCTTTGTTCTCTCTGATAATCTAGGGTGACCAATGCGACTGGCCAAGATATCTTAGTACACTAGCGTTATGTGCATCGGAACTAAGTGAAATTCGTAAAATACTCGAATCCGATAGATTTTCAAATGAACATACCCTGGTGCTTACACCAATGTTGTTAAATCCGGAGCAAGATACTAATTTAGCTAAAATTACAGAAGAACGTCTTTCACTATTCAATCATGATACTGTACCTCAATATCTTCGAACTAAATTAGATCCAAAGGTAAGTATTTTATTTATATCTCAATGATATATTTTGGTAATACTGTTTATTTAAACAACATCCCACTACATTGTTTTTATGTGATTCTTAAAAGTTATATATATATAAATCAAATGAGATTTGTGAGGCCCATATTTATCTGGTGCTTCCTTGTACCAATATTTATGTGTTTAAGTCAATAAATAAAATAAATATATATGAATTCAATGCAATTAAACTTAAAGTATCCTCATTTTCAGTTATTACGTTTATAAGTATAACTTTAATAAATGAGTCAGTTGAACACATATCTAACCCACTGGTAATCTCATCAGCAGTCTTTTTTGATATGGATTGATAAAGCTCATCCAGTTCTTCCTAATATGCTTCATTTGTTATTCAGGAAATCTCTTCAGTTACTTTTGTTTGTTCTATTTCCTGCCCCCAAATGCCCTGGTACGGCTGAGAGTGGGAAGAGTCCGCTCTCCCTTTCGAAATGCTCTCATATGGCCAGCGAATATATATCCTCTGTCAGGGAAGTCCTACTCACTGCCTTCTCGTGGCGGGGGTGTTGTTTACGAAGTTGAGAGGACAAAAAGCGAATGTCCGGCTCTTTAACCGGATTGGTGGAGTGTCCACCTAGGGGAGTTGGAAAACCCTGATTCCAAACCAATGGTGCACATGGGCTCCAGTATCCTGATGGAACGAATGGCGAATGAACCTGCTGTTGGTGACCGGCTACCATGGGACTGCATCTCCTTACGATGCTCCACTGCCTTGTGGGTCAGACATTTAGGTCAAAGGCTCCGGGCGTGGCCCTTAAGAAAACCACCTGCTTCAGTCTGGGCACCTGGGCAGTATCACAGCCCTCACACAAATCGAATGAGATTTGTGTGGCGCATATGTATCTGGTGCTTCCTTGTACCAATATTTATGTGTTTAAATAAATAAATAAATAAATTTCCTGCTTACGTCAATGTCACCAATTATTACAACATAACTACATGTTATGTTATAACGTTGATTATTGGCCTGCGCAAAATTTCTTTTATCTCTGACTCTCAATCGGGCCACAATAATGTTAGTCGTATAACTTGTGTTATTCAACATTGAAAACTCACATGACCCTCATGTAAATCAAGTAAAAGACCACGACTCATCAAAACTAAAAAATTACAATTTGTAAAAGAAGAAAGGCAATTCAATAAAGAAAACATTCTTTCTAACGACTTCATTTACTTAACCTGTATAATAGTATTTATAGTCGTTTTTTCTATTTGCCCAAATAGTATCCTCTAGTAAGGTAAGAAGGCGCTAATTGGAAATCATATATTAAAAAGAATTTATGTAATATTCAGCTAACCAAAAAGTGGTAAGGTGACATAATTGTCCACTTCCTTCTTCACCAACACATTGGGTCTCTTTCGTTATTTGAATTACAATTCGTATTAAACTCAGAAGGGGTTTTGTGGAGATTTCAGTATTTTTCATAGTTGAAATCATGAGTCAGTTGAAGCTAGACCACCATGGAAAACCTGGAAGCACTGGACGGCCATTTCGCCCTATTGTGGAACTCCTCAGCAGTGCGCATTACCGACCTCGCCACGCAAGATTCGAACCCAGGGTCTACCAGTCTCGCGCCCGAGCGCTTAACCACTAGACCACTGAGCCGGCATCCAACGGTGTTAATGTCTAACTTCAACCGATCCACGAAGTTTGAGCAACCGTTCATCAATTGTCTTCAGTGAGTTGTTATCTCACAACAGACGTGGTTGAACTCCACTGGTTCAGTGGAGTTTTCAAAGTTTTACCTTTCTCGTTTATTCACCCATATTAACTATGCAAAAAATATAATGTATAATTTAGTAACCCCTTCTGTGTATTGTGTGCATTTGGTATATAATCGTTTCATGCAAAATGAGTGAAAAGCTGTTATAAACGGTAGGATACTTGTTATAACACTAGGGTTTCTTATTATAACAGTCCTTTCACTTTTTACACGCATGTGGGACGTTAATTTACCTTAGACGAATATCTACACTAGATTCCCACCCAGTGTCTATTCTACAGGACTTCAACACACAACTCAGATCAAGAACACGAGATTGGCCTGACTAGAACGTCAATATATTTCCACACGAAAATCTGACACAATCCAACAACAAGAACAATCGATCCATAATAATAAGGATAGGGGAATATATATAACACATATAACACCTGTGTATATTGAAGAAGAAAGGTCTCTTTCGTTATTTTGTGTATATGGTAAAAATGATGGTCTTAGAGCCTGGTAATTCTGTTCTCTTGGACGTTAAGTAAAGTAATTTTAGTTTTCTTATTTTTTATACGACTGTAGAAAATGTTTTACTACATTCTGTTGTCATTTAAAATGATCATGTTTAGCAATCCAAATAAAGATTTTATACCTGCATCATTTGGAATGAATAACGTTAAAATCTGGTAGATAATAGACAGTTGTTTTACCAAATATGAGACTTTTCGCTGTTGGGTATCCGAGACCTAACCAGGGTTCGAATCTTGTGGGTTTCACAGAAAGCTCCTTACGTTTAGACAACTGAGTTGAAATTCATATTTCCAATTTTAACTAATCCTCAATATGGCGCAGTGACTACTCCTGTCGAGGTGACGGTTATGATTTTTATCGAAAAATCTCATACTAGGACGAAATGGCTGTTAGTACTCTTTGGTTTTCAGTCACTCCTTAACTGTTTTTAATCCGTGATAAATACCACGTACATTATAAATTAATCTCCAAAAATCCCTCATGAAGGACAGCAAACAGATACAAACATTTTCTTTCAGTCAATCAAACGACATAAAATCTGGCACAAATTTGTTTTTGCAGGCTAATCATATTCTTAGGTTACAGATATTTAATAACTTACGTCTTTACAGCTTTCTTTTAGTGTCGTCGAACAGCCATGTGCGTAACACCAAAGTTAACCGTAAGGAAATATCTATAAACGGTTAAGTGATTGGTGAGCCCCCAAGTACCCTAGTACGGCCGAGAGTGGGGAGAGTCAGCTCTCCCTTTCGAAATGCTCTCAAGTGGCCACATCCACAGAACCGCTGCCAGGGAAGTCCTCGCGCCACGGCTGTTGTTTACAAAATCGGGGACGAAAAGCGAATGTCCGGCGCTCTAACTGGGTTGATAGACACGGAGAGTTCACCTAGGGGAGTTGAAAAACGCTGATTCCAAACCAATGATGCACATGGGATCCAGTATCCTGAAGGAACAAATGGAGTATAAACCTATTGTTGGTGACCGACTACCATGGGACTACATCTTCTTACGTTGCTCCACTGTCTTGTGGATTTGACATTTAGATCAAAGGCTCAGTGTGTGGCCCCATAAGAAGACCACCTGCCTCTGTCTGGCACTTGGGTAGTATCCCAGCCCTCACACAAATCGAATAATTTATGTGGCGCATATCTATTTGGTGCTTCCTTGTACTAATGTTTATGTATTTAAATAAATAAAAGTGATGAAGCTGTCAACTCTCATTGATCCATAGTATTGAAGGAGACCTTTTTTGTAGGATGTAAAATTTGTGCCAAGATTTTAATGTAGTGTTCCAGAGAAATTAGATAGTGACTCTAAGTTAACTAAAATTGGCTTAGGTAAGTTAAGTCACCTTTTAAATGCTATCTCTGTTGAGTATTGAGCCTCTATAAAAGTGTCTTGTGTAACAAAGTAAAATATTTAGGTTCTAATTAATCCACCTGACTTCATATTTTCCAATTTACAGGTTGAAAGTGAATGTGCTAGTCAATCCACACGAGCTGCTGGTATACCGTCGGAGCAGGTGAATAAATTAATCAATTTATCAAATCGTGCGATTGATTGTAGCCTAAAAGAAGTCAATTTATTGAAACAAGATTTAGAGGCTGATTTTTCTGATCGACAAAATAAAATCTCATCAAATTTAGATGACTTAACTACCCTTATAAATATCATTTCTCATAAAAAAGGTCCAAACACTTCTAATTTATAATCGCCTTAATCATTATATTTTTGCTTTACCACATACACTTTCAACATCTTTTTGGGAACGTAACTCACCAGTGGTGATCAATGATTCTAAGGAAGACATAATAATTGCCTTTCCATTTTCCTCGGTCGAAAATATCGCGATCATAATCTAACAAATATATTGTTGATTTTTCATACAACTTTTCCCAATCGTAAACTTTGATGACAAAAGAACAAATATGTTAGCAGAATAATGGGAATTCATTTATTTCGCGGATTACCCTTTACTTGAAATAGGAATTACAGTCCTCTTGTGACCTCGCCCATGAATCGTCCGAATATTTGAGCTGCATTCTTTAGTCCGAATGGCACCTTTAAGAAACCAAACAGCTCTAAACGTGTGATAATGGTGGGTCTTTCAGTATTCTCCGGTGCCGCCGAAATTCAGTGCTATATTCTCACGTGATCTACCATAGAAAAAGTGTTTTCTATGTGATGCCAGAGAAAAACCGTGTAAATGATGAATCGGGCATCTGTCCGGTGCAGTCTGACTATCCAAACGACGATAATCTTCGCATAGATGCAATTCATGATCCTTCTTGGACACCATGTGTAATGGATAAGCCTATGAGCTGCTTGAATGTCATATGATTCCCAACTGCATCGTGTATTTGTACTTTGTTCCAGAGATTTTTAGTTTAGTGGGAGGTAATCTGCATGGCTTTGTACTCCTTGATCAGCTTGGTATTCGGGTCTTTTGACATCATACCCACATAGAATATTATTGAAGAAACTACTCGTCTGCTTTAATAGATTAGTACTATGGATTGGACTGTTAGCGACTAGGCCACTAACTTGGGGTAATGTGTTTGCATCAGTGAATTCTTATTTGTTCACGTTAAAAAGTAATGTGTAGAAAATTGGGAAATCAGCTCCTAAAATGAGTTGTTTCACCCGAGGTACGATGAAAATTCATGCAAAATGATTACGTAAACCGAATTCTAGTGTAAGTAATTGTTCGGCGAATATAAGTCTTGTTTGTCGCTTCTAAAAGTATGTTACTGGCTGTGGAGTGTTCTCGTCAAAATAGTGTCGGTGGGATTATGCTCACTTCTGCACAGGTGTCAATGAGAAATTTCGTGCCATAAACGGTATCCCGGACGTGGATGAGACGGCTGTTTGTGTGACCAAGGACAGTTACTGATATTAATTCCTGGCTGGGGTGTTTCCCAGGATCTGGTGCATCTCCATGCATTTGTGCCATAATTCTGATGATAGCAACAGACTCCTGAGGTTGGTTTAGATCATCTAGAGTGATGTCTGGTAAATGGCTTCTTTCTAAATGTCCTGGCACGTCTCACGTGTGTTGAATGCAGCTGCTTATAGATCTGTAATTTTGTTGGATAAGTTAAGCAAGTGCTACCGAAATATTGCTAATCCACTCATACTTGCACCATCAGTAGCTTGTAACGTATTTACTTTGTGGTGATCTGAATACATTCCCATCATCTTCTAGACTGATCGATTTTCCTGGCACTCTGGATGTGTATCACTCTGTAGGGCAACCATTGTATCTGCATATCGTTCAATGCTTCACCTAATTTGTTTGATTGGACTAATTACTTGATATATCATAAGAGCTGTGATGGTTTCCTATCTCTTTTGAATGACTGCTACTTGGAGGTTGTCGTGTCGGGATTCTTCCGGCACGTGGACAATTAGGTCCCTACTTTTGCATCAATTATAACCGGAACTGATAGAATATTGTCTTTATTGGGCGGGTCGCCGTGATAGAGTACGGAGGGGTAGGATGCCTTACTTACACCTGTTACTTTCAATGGAGCATAGGCCGCCGACCAGCATTCTCCAAAACCACTCTGTCCTGGGTCTTACTTTCTAGTTCTGTCCAGTATTTATTCATTCTTCCAATGTCTATCTTCATTTCTCAGCGTAATGTGTTCTTTGGTCTCCCTCTTCTCCTTTGGCCTTCAGGATTCCATATGAGTGCTTGTCTTGTGACGCAGTTGGGTGATTTCCTCAAAGTGTGTCCTATCCACTTCCAGCTCTTCTTCCTCCACTGGAATCTGATTTGTTGTCTCCCACAGTAACTTGTTGTTGATAGCATCTGGCCAACGGTTCCGAAGTATCTTACGTAGGCAACTGTTAATAAACACCTGTATCTTCTGGATGATGGCTTTCGTAGTTCTCCACGTCTCCGCCCTATACAGAAGAACTGTCTTGACATTTGTATTGAAAATTCTAACCTTGGTGTTGGTTGACAATTGTTTTGAGCTCCAGATGTTCTTCAGTTGTAAGTATGCTGCTCTTGCTTTGCCGATCCTCGCCCTCACATCTGAATCTGATCCACCGTGTTCATCAATGATGCTGCCAAGATATGTAAAGGTTTCTACTACTTCCAGAGCTTCTTCGTCAAATGTAATTCGAATGGTGCATGCTGTGTTGTATCGGAGAATCTTGTTTTTCCCTTTGTGTATATTGAAACCTACTGCTGCTGAGGCGGTTGCTACACTGGTTATCTTCTCCTGCATTTGTTGTTGCGTTTGTGATAGAAGAGCCAGATCATCTGCGAAGTCCAAATCGTCCAGCTGCATCCTACCTGTCCACTGTATTCCGTGCTTCCCTCCAGATGTTGACGTCTTTATCATCCAGTCGATCACCACGAGAAAGAGTGAGAGTAAGCAACCCTGCCTAACACCGGTCTTTACCTCGAATGAGTCGGTGAGTTGTCCTTCATGGACGATTTGGCAGTTCAATTCATCGGAGGAGTTCCGTATGATATTGACTATCTTCTCAGGCATGCCGTAGTGTCGAAGAAGCTTCCATAGTGTTGTCCTGTCCACGCTATCAAATGCTTTCTCGTAGTCAATGAAGTTGATGTATAGTGATGTATTCTATTCAGTTGATTGTTCCACAATGATCCGTAGGGTTGCGATTCGGTCTGTACACGATCTATCCTTACGAAATCCAGCCTGTTGATCTCGAAGTTGCGTGTCTACGGAGTCCTTCATTCTGTTTAACAGTACCCTGTTGAAGACTTTTCCTGGTATTGAGAGGAAAGTGATGCCCCTGTAGTTATCACACTTGCTGAGATCGTCTTTCTTTGATATATATTGATCAGAAATCCTTTCTAGTCTGTTGGTACTTGTTCTTCATCCCAAATCTTACTGAAGAGAGTATGGAGCATCTTTGCAGTTGCTGCTACATTTACTGTCAGTGCCTCTGCCGGGGTGTTGTCTAGTCCTGCTGCTTTGCCGCTCTTGATTTGTGTAATGGCCATGCTGATCTCTTCAATTGTTGGTGGGCCAACATCGATTGGGAGGTCTGTGAGTGCTGCTTCGATGTTGGTTGGGTTCAGTGGAGCTGGTCCATTCAAGAGTTCTTTGAAGTGTTCTACCCACCTGTTTCGTTGTTCTTCAATGTTGGTGATTACCTTGCTTTTCACTGACTGTTCTAGTTTGCGGTAATTTCCAGCAAGTTCCTTTGTTGTATCATACAGTTGTCTCACGTTTCCTTCTCTTACAGTCTTTTCCGCTGTCATTGCCAAATCTTCTACATATTTACTTTTGCCGGTTCTGGTGCTCCTCTTCACTTGCTTGTTTGCTTCTGTGTATTCAGCTTGTGCCTCGGTCTTTTCTGCTCTTGTTCGGTTAATATTGATTGCTACCTTCTTGTTCCTCCTTCCTTCAATCTTATCCAGTGTACCAACAGTTATTCATTCTTTGTAGTGGTGCCTCTTGTTGCCCAGAACTTCCTGACATGCTGAAATGATTGCCTCTTTGATACTTTTCCAGTTGCTATCCATGGTAGTTCCCTCTTCATTGAGTAGATCATGAAAGGCCAGAAGCCTGTTGCTGAGGGCTATGTTGAATTTGCTGAGTTTGTCAGCATCTCGAAGATAGATGTGATGTTTAAATAAATCAATGACTTCTTCGTATCGATGACTGTTGTAATTTTGAATTCCAAATACAATACATTCGTTCGGGCTCATCTGATACTTCTTGATTAAATTGCGTTATTCCTGGGATTACTAGTTTATACTACAATTCAAATACTTCTAATTATCATATTGGCGTCGCGATGGAGCCTGCGATACAACAGTTGGACATTCATTCAACTTCTGAAGCTTTTGAGGATTACCTTGAAAGGTTTGAGATATGGATCATAACCAAGAAAGATATGAAGGGTGATAAAATTGTGGCACATTTTCTTACATTCAAAGGTCAAGAAGTCTACAGTTTACTAAAAACCTTGGCATATCCAGATAAGCCGATCGCACTTCCATATTCAACTCTCAAGGAATTACTATTAAATCATGTGAAGTGCACCAGTTTTGAATGTCGTGAGAAAGCAAAATTTCATAAGATGATTCGTCAGGATAACCAGAAGGTTAAGGACTTCATCCTTAAATTGCAAAGACAAGCTTCGAAATGCAATTTTGGTGATCAACTTCATGTACAGCTGAGAGATCGATTAATTGCTGGAATTAACATACCAGGTCTGGAAAAGGAGCTTTTAAGAATGCCGAACTGTTCTTTTCAAGATGCTAGAACTGCATGTATTAACTACGAAGCAGTGAATGAACTTAATATTCAATCGATGAAAATTTCTAATACTTTGCTTAATCGTCATGATGAAATACAATCTCAGGGTCGATCAAATTTGCGTTCGTTTAGTCGTGATTGCTATTCCCGTGGAAATATGAAAGGTGGTTTAACAAGGAGCTGCAAAGCAAACAACAAAGGTGAGAATAAGTTTGGTAAATGCTTATCTTGTGGCAAATTTCATTCTCGTAATTCATGTGCATTTCGTAATGCTAAATGTTTTAAATGTGGCAAGATAGGACGCATTCAGTCAGTGTGCAAAACTACTGTTCACTTTGCTTCAAGTATTACTAAGTCCGGTAACTTAGATCCCAATAATTCAGCTGTTCTTAATGATCATTTATCTTTATCCACCACTTCAAAAGGGAATGTTCATATTCAAAAGCGATTATATACATCCCTTGGTTCATTTCATGACTTTATTGTGGACACAGGTAGTATAGAGTCCATTATTTCAGTCAAGAACTTGAAGTCTTTAGATCCTAATGTTGTGGTAAAACCCACTGAGGTCTCAATACTGGGGATTACTGGACACAGACCACCTATACGAGGATGTTGTAGATTGCTAATAAG